AATAGATTTCGATTTCGTTTCTGCAACTGGATAACAAATAGAATGATGTTTGTTCACAAGCCCAGCACAAACTAAGTAAGCAAAGCATTCAAACAACATGAATTTGTGTATAGTATCAGATTTTGTATCATATTCACATCCACATTCACTTTTCTACTGGCAAATAACTGGTTTTGAGGTACATTTCTTGTTATAATGTGTGGATACACAAACAAGAAGAATGCTGAATACTCAATGTGTTTCAAAACAAATTATTTGCCAGTTTTCGAACATTTGATAGCAAGACGCGGGTCTTCCTAGCCCTTACCTTCAACAGCTACTATGCATCTAGGTCTTTATTGCATAAACGAGTTACATATGCATTTTAATAGTGGCAAATAATTTGTTTTGAAACACATTGAGTACACAGAAAGAAAAAATGTGGTATTTTTAATTCAATTTTGGTAGATTTAATATAAAATCTACCCACAACGAATTAAATAAATTTACCATTTTTGACATCTCTGAGGCATATTTTTCAAAAGAGACTATCAGTTGAATTAGTTTTACCAATTGCTTCATTACATTCACCAAATTCATGCGCTAACGTCATCAGTGGTTTCGAAAAGTTGGTAGATGTAATGAAGCAGTTGATAAAACTTATTCAACAAATCGTCACTTTTGAAAAATATGCCTCAGAGATGTCAAAAATGGTAAATTTAATTCGTTGTGGGTAGATTTTATATTAAATCTACCAAAATTGAATTAAAAATACCACATTTTTTCTTTCTGTGTACTCAATGTGTTTCAAAACAAATTATTTGTCACTATTAAAATGCATATGTAACTCGTTTATGCAATAAAGACCTAGATGCATAGTAGCTGTTGTAGGCAAGGTCTAAGCAGACCCGCGTCTTGCTATCAAATGTTCGAAAACTGGCAAATAATTTGTTTTGAAACACATTGAGTATTCAGCATTCTTCTTGTTTGTGTATCCACACATTATAACAAGAAATGTATCTCAAAACCAGTTATTTACCAGTAGAAAAGTGAATGTGAATATGGTACAAAATCTGATACTATACACAAATTCGTGTTGTTTGAATGCTTTGCTTACTTAGTTTGTGCTGGGCTTGTGAACAAACATCATTCTATTTGTTATCCAGTTGCAGAAACGAAATCGAAATCTATT